GCCCTTAGTCTCACTTGAATGCTTACAAAGAGACATGTATATTGTCTTTGGGTAAAAGTTCATTACGAAATAAACAGTTAGCTCCCACTTGAGCTACCTTATATTGTCTTTGGGTAAAAGTTCATTGAGAAATAAACAGTTAGCTCCCACTTGAGCTACCTTGGCCCTTATTGAGCCACTTAGCTCCCACTGAGCCAATGAGCTCCTACTAAGGCTAAAAGCCCTAGACATATACTTGAAAAGACTCTAGAAACTATTTCTATCCATAACTGAATATGGTGTCTTTCTTAGGTTCGACAATTTTGTTCAGTGTAACATTAGTCATTGGTGCATGCATATCATTAAGAATGTTATAGGAAGGGATGTGATTCATCATCGTTCGAGTCATTTTCAAATGGATTTGAGGTCTCCGTCATGACATGCTATATTATTTGTGGAGCTGATTATGAAATTCCAATTTCATAACCTTGAGATGATCACTCTTAGCTCAAGCAAACATCACTCTATCTAATCTAGACGTTTTGATATCTTGCCAAGTCGGTTCTATACTTCACTGAACTTTTGAGCTACTCCAGATCCAGTTTGTACCACATTTGATGAATATAGACATTTCATTCAAATTCTTGTGAAAACATTGAAGTAATGGAATAATCTTTTAGCTTTTGGACTCAATTGTCTATACCAATCACAATAGCTCCTTTCTTTGTCGGTTTCAACAAGTAAGACTTCCTTGCCTTAGAATGATTTTGAATCGTTCAAATTTCAAGAATATATCTAATAGAGCATTAAGTACATTCTTGTCGATGTGACATTTCTAAAGATAGTTGGAACACAAATTGTGTCCATGATTTGAACCTTGTGAGTTTATGTAAGCAAAATGTTTGTTTATAATCAATCATTCTTAACTCGTGGCTTAAATAACCATGTAATTCAAACAAAACCAACAACTTTTGTTCTTTTACTTTGAATCTGAGTCTTTCCGTGTGTAAACAAAACGTTTGTTGATTATGGAACACAATAATCATTATTGGTTCCAGCCTTAGCTTTAAAAGGTCTTTAAACAAAGCAGATGACTTTACTGTTGATGTAGCACCACTTGCTTCATTCCAAGCTCGTAAGTCAATTACTTAGCTTAACTTCAATGGTTTGAGGTCACTTCAAAGTGGATCACTCAAGCAGTATCTAATACTTGTGAAGATAAGTTCCTAAGTTAACTATAACATGAACTCTTAGGTAGAATTGGAATCTTGAATTCCTTTTCTTTGTTCCTTGTTTCTTGTTTCCTATATTTCTTATCATACATTATTTCATAACTGTAAGAACCATTTCTCTAAGTATTTTGACTTAATACTTTGTTAAGCATAATTAAGCATCTAATGTGTCGTGAAACAAAGTTCTTTACCTTTAATTCGAACTTGAATTATTACATTAATGAGTCATGCTCAATAGTGTAAGAAGAGAAAAGATATGTTGGTTGTCAACTATTGACAAATTGAGTTTTCAGCTCAATACTTCATGTTTATCAAAAAATACCTAGTATTTCGAATACATGATGTTCAACCAAGGACTTAGTCATAAAAGTAATTTATGAGAAGTTGTATTTTAGAAATGTCTTTTCTTTTTTTGAGAACCATTCTCAAAAGATTTCCTTACCAATTGTTAGAAACATTATAACTCGATTTAGAATTTTACAAATATATGTGCAAAGTATAGCCACTCATCAAGATAACATAATAAGCTTTGAAATACATGCAAGCTAGCAATTTCAATTAACTTATTAACACTTTATTCAATTTGAATTTGTCCCAAATGCTTGAATAAAATAATTCCAAGATCCCTAAAATCAATAAGTGATTAAGCATGCTTTGGCTTGTCTTAACACTTATTATTTCAAGGTAAGCATATGCAATCCAATTGCTAATAGTTCCAAACTACTCTTGGTTGATAAGTCATCGCATCTAATGCTTTCTTGACGATTATTTCTTTTTCCACGACACCTAAGGACTCCTTACCGATATCATCGAGTTTAACCAAAACTAACGCGTATATCTAATATACCTTACGTCCCTAAGAAAGTGATGATGCCTTTCTTTGGCATAGCCTATCCGCGACTTTCAAAATTTTAGTGTCATTTTAGAATGGCAAATTTTAATTCAATTTTCTTTGGGACTTAGGGTTTCTATGTTGGTTTGATTTAAGTGAACTTAACTAATCATTCAATATTGAAATCCTAAACACGCATCTAAATATCAAGATATAAAAGCAATATAAATCGACAATATAAAATGCGTAGTGAACTAGCATGACCCCTTGAAAACTTGAGCATCTAATCTTCAATCTTCAAGGTCATCTTGGCACCTTTAGGCTCCATCTTCGAAGAAACGCCGTCTTTCTTTACTTCAGCATCACGCATGCAAGAACTAGATAATAGGAGTAACCTAAATAATCTAAGTACAAAAATACTTAACGACACGCAGTCCGTATTTAGATTTACAGAAATACATAACGGAACGCAATCCGTATTTACTATCCTAGTCAAGCCACACTAGTCACTTTTTGTAAAAACTTGCATAAGAACATTTATAATATTCCATTCATCCATTCACTTCAAAAGTGAATGGCCCATGCATTTTTACAAACAACACGAGCAATAATACAAAAAATTGTATTAAACAAGCATGCACTAGTTACTAACTTAAGTGGTTAATCCGATTAACATTCTTAATTAAAACTAGTCAAGTGTTTATCCAATTATGTGAACTAACGCAATAAAGATAAGCATAATTAAAGCTTAACAAGCTCAAGACCGATTAATGAAGCTCCCACTAAATTCCACATCCAACTTAATTAGATTAATCCAAATAAATTTTAATAAAGCCAAGTCATCTTTGTCAAAAATTATGCAAGTGCGCGAAAAACCGAGGCCTAGCCTCGCTTTAAACAAAATTGTAAAACAAAAACGAAGAAAAAAATTAAGGCTAGCAAAACCGGGTCCTTAGCTTCCACGCAAATGTTGGGTGGCCTGGTGCTAGGCTGCCTTTCCGAGCAGCCATGCTAAGGCTCAAGTTAGGTGCTGCCCTGATAAGTCGTGTTTTGTGCATATTTGTTAGCTTATTTTTGGTTGGTTTTATTAGCTTAGTCGAGTGTTTTAGTCCATCTTGGTGTAATTTGGTTTAGTTTCGATGATTCGATGCTTTTATGGGTAGTTTCGTTGTTTTTGATGTATTTCAGGATTAACGAAGCTAATTGAGTGAAAATGAAGCAAAACGTTGATGAAATACTTGACAAATATGATACCTGTTCACTATTAGTCTCATAACTTTTGATATACAAATTATAATGGAGTGATTCAAATTTCATTGGAAAGTAGACTTGAAGACCTTTCCAACGATATATTAAGAGCCTCAAACGGAGCTCCGGATATGAAGTTATGACTGATTTATGATGAGTGATACGCGCAGCAGAGGAGGCACGTCCGTGCCCCATTGAAGCACTTCCGTGCCTCATCGCGAAAGAATTCATCCAAAGTTTCTGCCATAGAGGCACGTCCGTGCCTATTGAGGGGCACGTCCGTGCCTCCTGGGAGGATTATGCGCCAAGCAACTTACTTATCTTATTATCTTTCTAGGGCTATATATATATTAAGTAGCGTTTTATTTCTTCATCAAGTCTTTATTATTCATTAGTTTTACGTTGTTAAGAAATTATTCTTTCCATTTATTTTCTTTGCTATTATAATTCAAGATTCAAGATTTACACTTTCCGCCTTCAATTTAATTCAAGATTTGGTATATTCTTTTCATCTCTTATTTCTTAATTATGTTTTCTTTAATTATTTTTGTTATTGTTTATTCCATTATGAGTGAGTAGATTTCCTATTCCAAGATCTAGGGTAGCCCAATTATGATTGATGCATGAATTAAATCTTTAAATTCTCTAATGACTTTTGCAATTGCTATGCTAAATTGATTGTGATTATGCCAATACTAGGTTAGACGTAATTTTAGTATTGTGATTATTCCGTTGTTTCTATCACAGCGAGAGTTGGGTTTAAACGGATTTGAGTAGATTAATTTAGGTTTTGATATTCAACACGAGAGTAGTTGGGTTTGATAATTGGGAAGTTAGAGTAATGTGTTCAATGTCTCTAATATGCATGATACCATGAGAATAGGCTTGATTGTATGTTAGGGAAGCCATTGATACTCGAGAGAGGTCCTTGGTATTTATTAGGGTTTACTTTTCCCCGTTAAATTGGAATCGTACGTTAGGGGTAGAAATATAATTGCATCAAGCGTAATTGTGGTGATACTAGATCTTGGATGTTTTAATTACTTGATTTCTTCATATTCTTTAGTTTATTTTCGAATTTTCCATACATTAGTTTCTTAGTTAATCGATCATTATTGATTCTTGCTTAGTAGGAATTTGAGACTATTTAATTATTTTTGAACCTTAGTCTCTTGGGATTCGACCCTTGCTTGCCCTGCTACATAGTAGTGGTCAGTTAGGTTATATTTTGTTAGGTACGCGACACGCCTATCAAATTTTGGCGCCGTTACTGGGGACTAACGGTTTCATTAGATTATTTGTGATTCGTTTTTTCTAGGCTTATTTCGTTGCTTCTGCTATTTTCTCTTGTGTTTTTGATACTCTTTCTCTAGTCTTCTTGTTGCATGCCCACATGACACTCAGGTTTAGAAGATCTAGTACCTTTTGATTCTGAAATCGAAGCAACCGCAAGAAGACGAGCAGGTAGAAGAAGAAGGAGAAATCAAACCAATAGAAACATGACGGACGCCACGAAATCCCTTTTGGAGTACGATATTCCTAATACAACTACCGGAGTCCTTTCTAGCATCGTAAGACCACCTGTGACGGCTTAGCACTTCGAGCTCAAGCCGCAATTCATCCAGTTCATCTCCAATGATTCATTCGCAGGACTACCGCATGATTGCCCGGTAAGTCATATTGATAGTTTTCTGGAATGATGTGATACAATGAAAATGAATGGTGTAACAGATGATGCTATTAGACTAAGCCTTTTCCCCTTCTCATTACGGGATAGGGCAAAGGAGTGGTTGAGAGATGAAGGCGCTGACTCGTTCGATACGTGGGACAAGCTAGTGAAGGCCTTCTTAGTGAAGTTTTTGGGACACGAGAAGACTTCTAGGTTGAGGAATGAGCTATCCACATTTAGAAAGTCAGATGACAAGTCTCTCTATGAGGCTTGGAGAAGGTTTAAGAGGCTACAGAGACAATGCCCTCATCATGGCATTCCAGAGTGGATATTAATCCAAACCTTCTATAATGGCAAGACTCATGAGTTCCGAATCTATATTGATATTGCGTTAGAAGGCTCTCTCTTGACAAAGAACCCCACTGAAGCAAAGGAGCTCATAGAGAAGGTGGCGGCCAACGACAACTACCATCCAGGAGGCCGACATACTTTGAAAAAGGGAGGTAAGCTTGATGTAGATGCTTTGACTATGTTAGCTAGTTCTGTGCAGGCACTAACAAGCAGGTTTGATAAGTTCCAAGCTGGAAATTCTACTAGCCCCCAAGAGGTTTGTCAAATGTGTAATGTGCAGGGCCATATCGCACCAAATTGCCCGCAGAACTCGAGTGAGATGTCCATCGAACAAGCCAATGCTTTCTACTCCTCAAATCCCAAAAATCCTTATGATCCCTACTCAAATTCCTATAATGAAGGTTGGAAACACCATCGAAACTTATCATACAAGAACACCCAAGCACAGCAGAATCCATCACCACCACCCCAACCCAACAACTACAACCAACCACTACCCGGTTTCCAACAAAGACCATCCATGAACCAACAACCAATGCAACCACAACCCCAAAAATCTAGCCTTGAAGTGATGATCGAGAGCTTTATTACCACAACCAATAGTGCTATCCAACAACAAAGTAGCTCTATCCAACAACAAGGTAACTCCATCCAACAGTTGCAAGCCCACCATAAGCTCATGGAAAGCCAAATAAGCCAACTTTCACAACAGGTGAGTCGCCTATCAACTCTTCAAGATCAAGCAAAGGTTCAAAAGAGATGAAGCCTTTCCGAGGCAAATTGTTGAGAAGGTGTGCAATGAGGAGTCTAGAAAAGACAAAAAGGGTAAAGATGTTCAAAGCTCCAAATATGTGACTCCACCGGCTTATGAGGAACCAATGCCTTTCCCGCAACGGTTGTCAAAAGTCGTGCTCGATAGACATTTTGGCAAATATTGTGAAGCCCTCAAGAAGGTACACGCTTCTACTCCCTTTTCTGATCTTTTAGTTCAAATGCCTCAATTTGCAAATTTTGTAAAGAATTTTAAAGATCAACATGAGGATAAGGAAGTAGAACATAAGAAGGGCCCTACTCTCTTATATGATAACCTACCACCTAAGCTGCATGATCCTGGTAGTTTCACTATTCCCTGCACGATAAACGAGAAATTTTTCGATAGGGTTTTGTGCGATTTAGGTGCTAGTGTTAACTTAATGCCCTATTCATTATATGAGAGTTTATGCTTGCAAGGACTTAGACCTTCCCCTATTTCTCTTCAATTGGCTGATAGGACCTCTAGACTCCCTAAGGGTGTGGTTGAAGATGTATTAGTCACGGTGGGTGGACTTGTTTTTCCTGTTGATTTTGTTGTCTTGGATATGAAGGAAGATCGGATGATCCCGATCATACTTGGTCGACCATTCCTTGCCACGGGTCAAGCCCTAATAGATGTTCCCGAAGGATAAGTCGTCATTAGGGCCCAGGATAAACAAGTCATGTTCAAGCTCTTTGATGAACATAATTCTATATTTGATGGTGGTACTTGCTTAAGAATTGATGCTACTAACCCTTTGTTTGATAAGCATGTATTTGATAGGAATTTCATGAGAAGCAGGGACAAAATTCCACTAGATGATGTGTTTGGCCACAAAGAGGTGAAAAGAGCAGTTTCTACGAAGGAGGACATCCCCGATCCAGGGCCGCGAGCCCCACCTAGCTTGGAGGAGCAGATTGCCTCCATGAGGGCCGATCTGAACCATGTCATGCTTGGCATGGGAGAGTTGAGGAGGGATGTCAGTGACACTCAGAGGGCGGTCACGAACTTATCGATGCCCCATGATAGCATGGCGACGACATTTGGTGACTTGCGAGAGCAGATAGCCGAGTTCTATGACATCGGGGGCATGATGCGACAGCACTTTCAGGGCGGTCCTAACACCGACCCGAGGTATGGCTTTCCCCCCACCCCTCCTGATCAGTAGGTTGTTTCCCCTTCCCCTTGTTCTTTTACACTGTTATATGCATACATTGAGGACAATGTATGATTTAGCTTGGGGGAGGATTTGCTTTTCACCATGTATATATTAGTTTTCTTTCAGTTTTTGGTTAGTTTATTTCTTTTTAGTGTTGATCGATATGCCATTACATGAGTATGCTTCTATGATAACAATCATATATGTGTGCTTTGCGAAAAGAGTTTTTGAAAACCCATTCACTAATTTGCTTGGAATTGAGTTGGTTTGTGGCTAGGATGGTCTCCCCGCTCTACTTATGTGAATAGTTTGTGTACCCGGTGAGAGTTTTGAACCATATTTAACTGATTTCACTCTATCTCAGTCGTGTTTGTTCTTGTGTGATTAGTTTGTCCTTTACTTAATTGAATTCTTGGTCTTGCTTTTTGACTGTTGGAGACTTGAATGATGCATGTTGTGAAAAAATGATTGAAATTTCCTTGTAGAGAATAGAGCCTCCACATTTTAGGCCTACTTATTTTTTTTTTTTTTTTAATTTTTCATTCACCCGTAGGTTGAGCCAATTTGAGCCGTGTTTTAACCCCTTCTTGATACCCTACATTAAAAGCCATAGAGCTATTTTTCTAGGTTTATTTTGAAGGTGTTTTACACTTGTTAAAGCCCTATGAGTGATGTATAAAAAAAGAAAAAAAAAAAGAAGAAAACAAAGAGAAAGAAGGGAATGTATTTATTAGAAGGAAGAAAAGAAAAAAAAAAAGAAGAAAGGAAGAAAAAGAGCTTTAAAAGTTTTTTTTTTTAAAAAAAAAAAAAGAGTCTTCCTAATTACCAATTAGTCCCTTCCTCTTTGTGAAAAAAAAAAATATAAAAAAAAAATAAAAAAAAATAAAAAAAATAAAAAAAAAAAAAGAGAAAAAGGTATGATTGAAAAAAAAAAGAAGGAAAAAGAAAGAAATAAAAGGGCTATGTTATTACTGTATGAAGTTGGAGGAAATAAGGTTGGCTTGAACCCGACATTTGAATGTGTAGTGGGATTAGGATTTGTTATATTTTGAGCACCACATTCCCGAATTACGTCGTCCAACCCTTATTCACCGAGCTTACCCTTTATGGATTTCATGATTTTCGTAATTGCATCAATCATTAGAAGTGGAGAAAGTCACATTGCAAGCCTAAAGAGGTCGATTCATGTGAAGTTGACATGCATTTTTTTCCTAGGTTGAGTGATATCATATTTCACCCCATAAACACATGAGCGTTTATTGTTTTTATTTTTCACAACTAAAGTGAGAGCTATAAATGTTTGTGTGAGTTGGTATGGGGAGATGTGTGGTAATATGTTTGTCGATTCCAAGTATATGAGGTTTATGGTGGTTTTATGCATATTGACTCTTATTTTTGTTTTCCTCGTGATTTCAAATTGATGGCACATTATGATTGTTTGAGAAGTTGTCTTTCTCCTCCCTTGTGATTCATGGTTAAATGCTTGAGGACAAGCATTAGTCTAGCTTGGGGGAGTTTGATAAGTCATGTTTTGTGCATATTTGTTAGCTTAATTATGGTTGGTTTTATTAGCTTAGTCGAGTGTTTTAGTCCATTTTGGTGTAATTTGGTTTAGTTTCGATGATTCGATGCTCTTATGGGTAGTTTCGTTGTTTTTGATGTATTTCAGGATTAACGAAGCTAATTGAGTGAAAATGAAGCAAAACGTTGATGAAATACTTGACAAATATGATACCTGTTCACTATTAGTCTCATAAATTTTGATATACAAATGATAATGGAGTTATTCAAATTGCATTGGAAAGTAGACTTGAAGACCTTTCCAACGATATATTACACGCCTCAAACGGAGCTCCGGATATGAAGTTATGACTGATTTATGATGAGTGATACGCGCAGCAGAGGAGGCACGTCCGTGCCCCATTGAAGCATGTCCGTGCCTCATCGCGAAAGAATTCATCCAAAGTTTCTGCCATAGAGGCACGTCCGTGCCTATTGAGGGGCACGTCCGTGCCTCCTGGGAGGATTATGCGCCAAGCAACTTACTTATCTTATTATCTTTCTAGGGCTATATATATATTAAGTAGCGTTTTATTTCTTCATCAAGTTTTTATTATTCATTAGTTTTACATTGTTAAGAAATTATTCTCTCCATTTATTTTCTTTGCTATTATAATTCAAGATTCAAGATTTACACTTTCCGCCTTCAATTTAATTCAAGATTTGATATATTCTTTTCATCTCTTATTTCTTAATTATGTTTTCTTTAATTATTTTTGTTATTGTTTATTCCATTATGAGTGAGTAGATTTCCTATTCCAAGATCTAGGGTAGCCCAATTATGATTGATGCATGAATTAAATCTTTAAATTCTCTAATGACTTTTGCAATTGCTATGCTAAATTGATTGTGATTATGCTAATACTAGGTTAGACGTAATTTTAGTATTGTGATTATTCCGTTGTTTCTATCACAGCGAGAGTTGGGTTTAAACGGATTTGAGTAGATTAATTTAGGGTTTGATATTCAACACGAGAGTAGTTGGGTTTGATAATTGGGAAGTTAGAGTAATGTGTTCAATGTCTCTAATATGCATGATACCATGAGAATAGGCTTGATTGTATGTTAGGGAAGCCATTGATACTCGAGAGAGGTCCTTGGTATTTATTAGGGTTTACTTTTCCCCATTAAATTGGAATCGTATGTTAGGTGTAGAAATATAATTGCATCAAGCGTAATTGTGGTGATACTAGATCTTGGATGTTTAAATTACTTGATTTCTTCATATTCTTTAGTTTATTTTCGAATTTTCCATACATTAGTTTCTTAGTTAATCGATCATTATTGATTCTTGCTTAGTAGGAATTTGAGTCTATTTAATTATTTTTAAACCTTAGTCTCTTGGGATTCGACCCTTGCTTGCCCTTCTACATAGTAGTGGTCGGTTAGGTTATATTTTGTTAGGTACGCGATACGCCTATCATGCCCAGCAGCCCCAACCGCTCATATGCATGCAAGTGTTGGGCGCTGCCTAGAAGCCCCTGGCTTCAAGCCGAGCTGGTGTTGGGTGCTGTCTGGCACCCTTAGCACGCACCTGACGCACATAGGCATGTTGCTGATAGGTGCAGCCTAGCAGCTACAGCTCAGCTTGCGTGCTTGCTACGTCCACTAGCATCTCCCGCTCACCCTCGCTACTCCTTTCTCTCGCACACTCCCCACACACACGCACCAGCTAGGTCAGCACCGTAAATGCGGGCTGCGCGAGCATCCCCTGCTGGCCGAGTAAGATGCTTGAATTTTCAAGCCTCGAATTTTGTGTGTGCTTTAGGTTTTTAATCCTAATTTTTGTGTGACTTTAATTAATTCCAAATTGAATTATAGAATTAACATTTGAGCAATTTTGAACTAATATCAAGTCTACCTTAATTAATCCAAGTTTAGTGAAAAAAACAAAATTATTTTCAAGAACCATTCTTTAATAATTTTAGGTCAATTTGATGCAATAAAAATAAGAGCATGTTGCGTAATTAACTCATCCAAAGATTAAAATTGTAATACCCCGTATTTTTATACGTATTTTAATTTAAATCATTATTTTATGAAGCATTTAAATAATTTGAAATGAATTATTTATGGTATTTTATTAATTTACAAAGGTTTATTTTAATTAAAGGTCCACTTTTATTTATTTAATTGCTTTTAAAATATTTTATTTTATTATTTAGAAACTTTGGGGCATATTATTTTATAAAAGGAAGTTTTAAAGTCAATGGAATTTTAAGGGAAATCTAATGACTATTTTAAATAGGAGAAGGGATCATTAAAGGTAGAAAGAGAATTTAAGGTTATGAGGGTTTTGAGACGGGGTATAAACACCCATCTAATGAGCAAGTTAGATCTTTGCCCAAGTTAGAGAATAACCAAAGGTAAACTCTCTCTCTCCTCTTATTTTCTCTCCCTTAATTTTTCCCCCTCCCTTTTTATTTTACGCATCACACGCACACACATGGTGGCCGGCCACCACCACCACTTCCCACCGGCCGGCCGCCGCCGCCAGCAACAGCCAACAGCAGCCGGCTTGGAGGGCGACAGCAGCCCCCTCTCGTCGTGCGGTTGTGTGTGTTTAAAAAAAAAAACTCTTCTTTGTTTTAGTTTTAATCTAGCCTTGATTTAATTATTATATTTGGATGATGTTTGATTATGTATATAATTTTCAGATTTAGTTTTTGAATTAAAAAGCCCCAAATTGAAAACCCTAGGTTTCTAAATTAATGTATATTGATGGAAATTGATTGTAGTTGGTTGGAATTATTGAAATAGGTGTTTTTAAACATAATTACAGCAATTTTACATGTTTTTATAAAGCTGCAATTTTTATATAAAGGTTATAATTATGTTTCTTTAAAAGCATTTTTTATTACCTATTAATTGAGATTAAAAGTAGGGGTTTTAAATTAATTTTAATCTTTTTTTAGAGGGTTTATAAGTGATTT